TTTTCACTTTCGGTTGATTTGATACATTCAAGTAGTAGAGTCCATTATGCTCCCTAGCAAGTGCAATCCTCTTCCCCGACCCCAGGTCCTGAAATTCACAAGACGAAGCATTGAATATAACACAACCAGTTAGATCTCGGGTACGTTTTTGTATGGAAACCAAATTTGTTGAAAGTTGGGGAACATGGAGAACATTTTGAAGTAGTAATTCTGGGGTAATTTGAATATCTCTTACTCTTACCACTGTGGTTGCAGAACCATCAGCAACTATAATTTTTCGGTTGCTTGGACAGGGTGTATAGGTCTTAAATAGGTTAGAGGTATGAGTCATGTGGTTGGTGGCACCAGAATCAAGGATCCAAGCATTCCTAAACTCATTACCTAAAATATTTAATCCAAGAGAGATTAGAGTCTCACCTGAAAGTGTCAATGAACACATACCCTGGGTTGATACCTGCGGGCTGCATTTCTATCCCTGATCTTCCACTTTTCCTAACAAACCCTTGAGTTTTTCAATTTCCTCCATACTAAATCCTCCAAAGCTGCGGGTTGAATCCTGTGTGGACATATGAGCTTGGCTGTAGCTTGATGCTGATTGTCCTCCTCTCTGTCCCCATTCTCGGCTATTTGTGGAGGGTTTCCCATGCAATTTCCAGCATCACTCCTTGGTATGTCGTGGTTTCTTGCAGTACGTGCACCACATCTCATCACCATCCTTGTGAGCACTTGGTCGGTTAGGCTTGTCTACAGCAGTACCATCAAGCATCAGCCCTTGTGACTTGGAGCTTAGAAGGGCAGAATTTTCTGTTGAAGGTGGATCGAGCATGATGCCTCTGCGACTCTCCTCCGCACGGACCAGGGAGATTGTTTCAGTCAAGGATGATACTTCAGGCCTGCCTAAAGTTTGAATACGTATAAGATCAAACTCAGAATTTAAGCCAGCCAAAAAATCATATACCCGGTCTCGTTCTATGAATTTTTTGATGGCTATTGCACACTTGCTGCAGTTCAGATCAATTGTCCTATAGTAGTCCAGTTCTTGCTACTGATTTTGTAGTGCATTGGTGTACTCTGTCACAGTTTTCGACCCTTGTTTTGCACATGTTGTCTTTGTCTTGATATCATATATGAGAGCTGCATCATTGACCTTTGAATAGGTTTGGTAGAGAGCATCCCAGATTGACTTTGCTGTTGGCAAGAACATGCAAGTGTCACTAATTTCCGGGTTCATGGAATTCCATAGCCATGACATAATCATTGAATCTTCTTCATGCGTTTGCACCTGTGGCTCCTCTTTCTGGTCCCTGCTCCAGTAAATGGCCTAGCTTTCCTTTTCCTTTCAAAAAGGTTCGAACCAATTGAGACCACTTCAAATAATTTTTTCCATTTAATCTGTAGGCTGCCTGGATATTCTGAAGTTCTGTTGTGCTCCGTGCTGCCTGTTCATTCTCAACTATCGAAGGTGATTGAGCCGAAGAGGTGGTATCCGTCATGATTGGATATGATTGGAGGCTAAATCAGCGATTAAGGCTGATGAACTACCAGCAATTAGGCTGGGAGAGAAAGGAATGAACCAGCGATTAAGGCTGGGAGAGAAAGAAATAAACCAGTCGGAAACCAGCGTTTAAGGCTGCCCTAATTCTTTTTCCAGAAACCCTAGCCTTACGGCTCTGATACCGTGTAGAATAATGAAAGAATTTCTATTATGAATGAATTAATAATTACAAGCTATTCTACCCTTTATTTATAGACACTTTCTGTTACACAAAATCAGGAAAGTATCCAAACAGATCAGCCCCTTTAGGATCCGGTAATCTCCCCTGATTTCCTATACTAGAAAAACTCCTAAAAATCCTCCTATGATATCTCATCCGAGATTTCCTACAGAACAGAATGAAGGAATTCGGCCAGAGACGGAATGAAGAAGATCAGAATTTTTCCTTCAGGAAAGAGCCAAACATCTCTGATACCATGTGAGAAATAGAAAGTTCTTAATTGTATTTCATTCACGTCAAAACAGTTTACACACAAGTACATATATACACAGCTAGAATGATAAAAAGAGGTAACTAAATCCCTACAAAATAGGAAACTTTCTAACCGGTATATACAACTCACCAAACTACCAAAAAATCAGGGATTACACAAGATTTTCTACAATAAGAAAATTATTCCTAATAAACCACATTATTCGACATAATCAATGCTCTCTTCCTTCTCACCATTCCCTCCAGCCTGCTTGTGTTTAGCACCAACTTAGCAAATCCAAATTTGATCTCAAAAGAAAGGTACACAATTGGACTCGTGTGCACTGTTGGTTCAACAGCGGGGTATGGTTTGATGCTTTCACTAAGTCAATTTGCATTCGAAAAAGTTCTGAAAACGGACACATTCAAAGCCGTACTTGAAATGATTATCTATCAATCACTAGTTGCTACTTGCGTTGCAATGCTGGGACTTTTCTTGAGCGAAGAGTGGAAAGACTTGAAGAGAGAGATGGAGGGATTCGAACCTGGGATGGCATCGTATTTCATAACTTTGGGCAGCACAGTCATGGCTTGGCAGATTTTCACCATAGGCACAACAGGATTGATTTTTGAGGTGTCTTCCCTCTTCTCCAACGTCATTAGTGTTCTGGGTTTGCCTTTTGTTTCACTTCTAGCAGTGATCTTTTTCCATGATGCCATGGATGGATTGAAGGCTGCAGCAATTTTGTTGGCTCTCTGGGGCTTTGCCTCGTATCTCTATCAGCATTATCTGGATGATCCAAACTGCAATGCTGAAACAATCATATTGCTGAAAATCAATGTGTCGAAGAAATTTCACTGATTCCTCTGCTGAAAGAGGTCAGCGATTGAGCAATTAGTTAGGCAGCTCCCGAGTATTCTTTTTCACTGTTACAAGCCACACAAGAAACAACTTCTCAGAAAAGGATTATTGATCCTTAATCTTAGAAAAATTGAAATTGTTCCTGATTTTCTGTTTCCATGTCTCATTTCAAGATGGAAACTTCTGGAGAGGCCCTTTCTTCCCAACATTTTTTTCTCCCTTTAAGAGAAAACCAGGTCTTTTTCATGCCAATTCTAGTCATACTTATTCTTATTCTGTCTCCCATATGCTTTTAAAAAATAATAATGATAATAATAAGAAACAGGCTAAATGTATAAAGTTGAATATAAGGATTTGATTTCCAATTTGACTCCCCATTTGCATTTTAATATAACCGACTAATGCTCATAATGCTACAAGAACAAAAGGCAAAAACAAAGAGACAGAACATAGGCAAAGGAAATGTTAAAGCCATAAAGGCACAAAGTAAAACATCACACGTGTGACGCTGTACAATTTCGAATAGAACTTGCAACAGATATTTTTATTCTTCAAATAACGTATGTGGACCAAAATGTCGTCAAGCTCATTTAACTCTTAAGTTATAGTTACAGTTATGAGTGTCGCGGTAGTTGTATAGTTCACATCCCTTCTTCGTGAGTGTAATTTACCAGAAGTATAATTTATCACTGGTTGAAAAGTCACCATATGTATATATCTAGATTAGAAAACCACCTAGAACAACATGAGAAACTTTAGCACAGGCATTTGATAAAACTACATGAGACAGCCAACATAGTGAGCGCGAGGGTATTTTCTTTGCAACTGCGGCCATTGCACGAAGAACTGATCAGCAATGCGTAACTTGTAAAGAATCAAACCACTTAAAGAAAGCCTTTGCACTCTTGCTATACTTTCAACATAAAATATGGATGACCATTGAATCGCTATTATCTGCGCACAAGGTTAGATAAAGAATTCCAATATCAACTTAAGCCAAAATTTTAAATAACCTATTATGGAAATAACTGAAGAATGTCAAAACAAAAGGGTTAAATGGAGTATTCCTAAACCTTAAATACGAATGCAATTATGCATAGTGGAATACAAGTCCCAGGACCGTTGCAGAGAATCTAGGATTACCAAAAGGTTGATAAGGGAACGGTTAGAACTAATGATAGACAACAAAATAGAATGAGAAGAATAAACCCAAAAATTAAAATTAAAAAAAATAATAATACTAATAATAATAAACACAACAAAAACAAAAACCTTAATGAATGAAAGAAGAACTAGGAAAGAATAGTACCACTTCAGGTCTAACTCTAATCATTAGCCAGAGGCTATGAGCCATAGCAACTAAGGTAGTCCAAACAGAGGTTATGTATGACTGACCAACTTCTCTACTTCTATAGATCTGCATGAATTGCAGAGTCCCGACCAGCTTATGTCCAGTCTGCAATAAAAAACAGGCTCAGAAGAAACTTGTATGGATAAACCAGAAAAATCAAATGAAAAACAACAAGGTACTGTACATAGATGAGCATAAGCCATTGATAAAAAAGTGAACCAATGTTCATAGGTTATTTGTTATGATGCATCAGATAAGAACAGACTCTGAACACTGCTTTTCAAGCAAAATCAAATTAAGACAGCATTACGTAAGAGTAATGTATCTAACAAAAATCCTATTTCTATACCATGCCAAAATAATGTTGACAGTACAGACAACTGAAGAGTGAGAATTTCCTTCAGAAGATGGGCCATTAGGCAATTCCAAAACAGCCAATTAATTAACTCGCATATCAAATCTTTCCACAACCACAAGCATGTCATAGAATATAAAAACCATTTTCAGCCACATCAACCTCGCTAGCTAAGGAATTCTCAAATGAGCGAGCTTTCTCCAGACTCATATTGTCAGTAGCAGCAGCAATATAGTATCTGGGAGCGAACCTCTCCTTTTGCAGCACTGCCAAAAGGTTCAGCATCTCAGCCGTGTGACCCCCTAAAAGCATCAAACCAATCACCTTTTGAATTACCCAAAATCCATAAAAAGAGTTCACTGTTACCAGAAACAATTTTAAAAAACAACAGGCATAAATTCAGCTCACCTGAACCTAACACAATCAGGGTACGAAACAGTCTTGAATCTCCTTTTCCTCTGACCTTCAGAGGCTTCCCTGTTTGGCATAACACGTAAACAAGACGAACCAAAGCTACCACGACACCGACCATATACAGAGCAATTGCTACAACAGAAGACATGGCTTCAAAAGAATCGAATATTTAGCCAAATCTGCACCACCAAAAAAAAAAAAGAAAAAAAAAAAGAAGAGAGAAGGCAATTAGAGGAAAATCCCCATCCCCGGTTTCTCTTTGAGCTAGAACTCAGGAACTTGGCTTTGTTTCGAACCTGACATTTTTTATGGAAAAAAAAAAAAAACGAAATGAAGTGCAAAGAAGTAAAGGAAGAGGACAAAGATAAACTTTTGGTTGTCTTAAGGAACGCTAAGAAGAAAAAATTGATTCCTTATAATTTTTATGAGCACTTCTATTTGTCCTCCTGGGGTTTAAACCCATTCACATATGTCAATTTTTTTTTTTTCTTAAGGTCACGTGTCAAATTTTGATAGGTTAAAACATTTTCGTTTCAATTCTTTTTCAATAAAAAAAAAGGACCATAGACACATGTCAACTTGGAGTAGTTTTGAGTAACAATAGCATTTTCTCATTTTTATTCTTGTTATTGGATGTTCAAAAAAATTAAGAAATACAATATCAAACAAAACTATATTCACTTTAATTTTCTCCTTTTCTACACACCTCATTCTCTCTTCTAACTCTCCCTTCTACTTTAATTGGACTAAACTAGGTTGATTAACTTTGTGAAATTGTGTAGTGAATGACTTTTTTTTTAAATTATTTGTATCAGTACTAATAAAATGAAGCACGTGTGTGCTAGTTGCATTAGAAAAGTCTAATGTTGATATTTTTTAAATATATTTAGGTATATAATTGTATGTTCAAGCTAAATTACAAAGTCAGATGTAAAAAAAAAACAAAAAAACAAAACAAAACAAAAAAAAAACAAAACAAAACAAAACAAAAAAAACAAAAAAACAAACAAAAAAAAACAAACAAACAAACAAACTACCATATAAATTACATGATCAGTCATATATGAAATCAACCACATTGTGTGTAAAATAATTAACAAATGGCAGAATACATGTACAAAAACTAAAAGAGATATCAAACTTAACAACTAATGCATCAAAAATATATCAAAATTGGATAACTTGTACCAAGGTTATAACAAAATAGCAACAAACACTAACTGGCCGCTTAGCAGAGAACTCACCTGAGTCATATGAAGATGATTATGCAGTGAGGATATAAGCACAACAAATATAGTCGCATCACAAAATAGACGATGGAAAAAAGTAGTTGAAAATCCAAGGAAACACAGAAAGTGTTTATAGTATTTCAATTTAGTATAAGATTGAACCATGGAAATCTGATTGATTGACAAACTTTGGCTCAGAATTTCCAAGGCAGTAACCCATTCGTAATATTAAAAAACATAGCAAAACCCAACATTACGTATTATTTTTTCACTTGTGATTTCATAAAGGCAAGTTTATGCTCAATCAGGGAAGGTAAGCATAGATGAGAGACCAATAAAACATAAACAAAGGAAGCGAAAGGAAAAAAATAATGTCACCACACGAGAAATTCAAAGAGAACGACAAACAAAAGATTGGAAGAAAGATAGTTAATCAGATTAAACAAAATCGAAAGCACAAAAAAGGGGAAAAGGCGAGAAAACAATCTCAATACCCACATGAATTTGTACCATCAACCAAGGCAAGCAAAAAATAAAAAAATAAATAAAAAAAGAAGAAATCTTTGAACATCCACAAGCAGGAGAAGGGCTGGACCAAGAACAAAAGAAATCAAAACAAATTTTAATTTAGAAATAAAGAGCAAAAACAAAAACAAAAACAAAACAAAACAACACAAACTTACAATGCAAACGATCTATGATTTAAAACATGAGTGAGCTTTCCTGACTGCCTGAAGCAAGAAAACACTGTACTACCTACCCTTTTATAAATCTTCGGAGCAATTGATGAAGACCACCAACCTAATTCCTTTAAAATCAATTGACCCTTTCACTGCACCACAAGAAGGAGGGTCTTTCCCATGGAACTTGTGAGAAATTATCTTTAACGTTATCTTCTAGAAGCAAGCATTATCTCCTAATGATTATGACCGACTACGGCTAGGGATCATGTGATTATCTATTTCCTAGATTCTAGGTGATTGGCTACCAACAGAATTAGGGATAAGTTCTTTTCTCCAATGAGTTTATCTAACTCGTGTATACATATATAGCCCTTTAGCAGCTTGTGTAAATTATTGGAATTAATAAAATATTTTTTCTTCATTCTTTTCCACATGGTATTAGAGCCATAGGGCTTTTTTTTCTAGAAATAAATTCTTTTTTTTCCTCAGCCTTCATCGCAGTTCATTTTTTTTTTTCCCATTACAGTTTTTTCTTCCACAATTTTTTTCCTGAATTTGCCTTTTCTTTGCGGATTACCCTCTTTTCCGTTTCCTGTTTTGTGGATTACCCTCTTTCTTGTGATCCCACATCCAAATAAATTCATAGATGTCAGAAACAACCTCTTCAACTCCCTTGGTTCAAACAACCCAACAACGTGAGAAAGAATAGATTCAACGTTCTACGGCCGATTTCTAGAATATACAGACAGCCTATAGACTCAATGGCAGAAACTACTAGAAGTGGTCCCAATTGGTTCGGACTTTTCTAAAGGGAAAAGGAAAATTAAGTCACTTACTTGGGACTGGACCGAAGGAAGGAGATGCTGGATACGAAGCCTGGGATGAAGAGAATTCCATGATCATGTCTTGGTTGTGAAAATCCATGACACCCGAAATCAGCGACACATTCATGTTTCTGCCAACCGCAAAGGCGATTTGGGATGTTGCACATGGAACCTACTCTAAGGTCCGTGATGCGGCTTTGATTTACAAGATTAAGATCAAAACAGCGGTAGCCAAACGGGGAAGTAAAACTATAACAGAAAACGCTAATTTTCTACAAAACTAGTTGCAAGAACTGGATCATTACAGGGTAATTGACTTGAAGTGCAGTGACTGTACAGGGGCAGTGAAAAGATTCATAGAAGGAGATCGAGTTTATGACTTTCTTGCAGGTTTAAACTCGGAATTTGATCTTATACAACTCCAGATCCTAGGGAAGTTGGAAATCTCGTCCTTGGAAGAGGCAATAGCTTTAATCCGGGCTGAGGAAAGTCGAAGAGGAGTGATGCTTGAACCTGAAACAGTTGATGGATCTGCACTCGCAACCTCTAGTAACAAACAGCGAGGTCTCATCTTGGAACAACCACCAAAAGCTGAACCTGGAAAAACGGAGGATAAAAAGGGAGCAAATCGAGAAGATCTCTGGTGTACCTACTATAAAAAGCCACGACATACAAGAGAGCGCTGCTGGAAATTACATGGAAAACCTTCAACAACTAGCCGTGAATGGGGAAATAAAGGAGGACAGCAACAACGACAACAAGGCCAAGCATATAAGACCTCCCAAGTAAGTCAAGATCAAGCTCAAACTCAAGACCATAGCAGGTTGAATAATGAAGAGATAGAAAAATTGAGGAACTTGCTGAGAACCCTTGAGAAACCATCCTCCAACACTTGCTCTTTGGCACTCTCAGGCAAGCACTCATTCTCTTGTGGACTAAATGCTTCAGATAAATTGTTCGTGAATTCATGGATTTTAGACTCGGGAGCTACATTTCATATGACACATGCCTCAAACCAATTTAAAACTTATACCCCGTGTCCAAGTAATAGAAAAATTACGATTGCCGATGGAACCACAACCACAGTAGCCGGGGTAGGGGATGTCCATATCGCACCTAGTCTTATCCTCAAAAATGTTTTACATGTCCCAAAATTGTCCACCAACCTTGTGTCTATTCAAAAGCTTACAAAAGACTTACATTGCCATGTTACGTTTTACCCTTCTTACTGTGAGTTTCAGGATTCGGGGAAGAAGATTGGACGTGCTGAGAAAAAGGATGGAATTTTTCACATATGATCAAGAAGAGCCTAACATCCTCATTTTTTTCTTCCTCCAAAAGGGATCTCATTTGGTTGCACCACTACCGCCTTGGCCATCCTTCTTTTGCAATTTTAAAACTTATGTTTCCTTCTTTATTTAGGGGATTTCATTGTGACATTTGTGAGTATGCAAAACACACTCGTGTTTCCTTTCCTATTAGTAATAAAAGATGTTCTTCTCCTTTCTATCTAATCCACAATGATTCTGGGGCCCTTCCACTTCTCCAAATATCTCCGGTTCACGTTGATTTGTGTCCTTTATCGATGATTGTACTAGAGTTATCTGGATTTTTTTGCTCAAAAATAAATCCGATGTGAGTAACATCTTTCCCAATTTCCACTTGATGATTCAAAATCAGTTTGGTACTAAAATAAAGAGATTTAGGTCTGACAACGCAAAAGACTACTTTAATCAGATCATCCATGAGTCATCTTGCATAAAAACTCCACAACAAAACAGGGTTGCAGAAAGAAAAAATGGTCACCTCCTAAACACTACCCGGGCACTCTTGTTTCATCAAAACGTACCAAAACACCATTGGGGGGAAGCCGTTCTCACCGCTGCCCATATCATAAACCGAATTCCTTCAAGGGTTTTAGGGTCAAAAAGTCCAATGGAAGCTCTTTCTAAATTCTATCCTGACATCAATACAACCAACAACCTAACACCTAGAATTTTTGGGTGCACTTCATTTGTTCATGTCCACAGCAACAATCAGGGAAAATTGGATCCTAGAGCTGTCAATTGTGTCTTTGTAGGATACTCTTCCACACAAAAAGGGTACAAATGCTGTAGGTTTCAGGGCAGAAAAGAAAGTATTTCTCATTGATTATTTTCTGTACAAGGGTTACAATATTTATAGGAAAACCATCCCACGGAATAGGGAAAGTAAATCCCTTGATTGAGGGAGATCCTTATCTCAAGGAATCTCTTTAAAAATTGAATGAATAAACTACTTTCCTAATTTATCTCTATGCCCTTATTAACCGGATTGGTACATATGAGAAGGGGAACAAAACAGACATGAATTGAGTGAATAATCTTGCAATCGCTTTCGTTCCCCTTTTTCCAAGTAGCTAAGGTAGTCATGCAGTTATTATCGTTATTATGTATATGCCCTGCCCTGCCCAACCCACAGAGAGCTCTTTGCTTGTGGAAGCTCATTTTGGACTTTCATCAGGCAACTTCCGAACTCAACACCACCAAACGCAAATTAATAAACATATGAAGGGGAAAAAAAGGACAAATATCTAAATCGCAAGAACCATGGGAATATAGAAATGCACAAAACAAAGATCGATGAACAGGATCAAGGAACCAAAGCGAATTTTCATTGAGAAATTAAAAGAAGACGGTAAAAAACTCACAATATGAATAATCTCCTGAGTTGAAACCTCCACTGAGTGAGCAAAATTTCTGATTCACACCACTGTCTTAGCCTTTCGTCGATCTCAAGAATATAAAGGATTGTCTGAAGCGAGACAACCGACTTTAAATCCTTTTAGTTTATTTGATAGTTTTGCTTGCTCTTCACGTTTGCCAATCAGAGGATTCCCTTTGTGACAACGATTTCAAAGCGGTTCAAGCTCTCCATTTTTAAGTGCTTAAGACAAAGACCATAAGTGCAAAAGTACACCAAAAGCCAAACAAAAGTCCAACAAACAGTAAAGGAAGAATAGAAAAAGAAGGGCAAAACTGGGAAAAAAAATTCCATGACACCAGCCTGTTTTAAGAGGCAAAAATTATATAGTAGAAATATCAATATTTACTGAAGTTTAAAATAAAAATGAATATTATTTTTATACACTCATGTAATTTTCCATTTTTATTTATTGAACTTCAAATAAACTGCCTAAGGAAAAGATTAATTAAAATCAAGCAACGAAGTTGGCAACCGAATTGTTGGTTACCAGGTTTGCTGCAACAAATAAAATCACCACTTCTCTACTATACTTCAATTAAAAAAAGAAAAGGGGAGAGAGAGAGAGAGAGAGAGAGGGGCAAGTTATTGTTTATGCAAAGTTAATAGATAGGAAAGGAAGTCGTTCTGACCATCTGAACAATACAGAAAAACATCTTCATATGCTAAAGGAGTTACTAACCTCAGAAAATTAAGAGCAGTTCATTCAGCCATCTGTAATCTGTGATTCTGCGTTGAATAATTAATAAAAGTACAGTAACAAATTAACTAAGAATATACATTAAAAAAATAATTGTATAAAGATCGCGGCTAGAAATTGAGCGGGAATTCTAGAAGGGTTTGCTCTCGGGGAACATTCACTCTTGAACAAATAAATCACTGGTTTAATGATGTTTTATGGCTGTTCTGTCGCCAATAACATGGAAAAGAGGAAAAGTTCTAGTTGCAATCTGCTAGACTGGAACACGAGAACAGCACTTAGGTATTCGGCACGTATCCATGTTCACGGAGACGAACAGTTAATGAATTCAATTCAGCATAAATTAAGCTGGCATCAGGATGAACCCGATCAGCGGTAATAAAAGTATGCACACCATCCTTGAGCTCAATCCAACTACATCCTGGTGTCTTCTTAACGTTTTGTTGTCTCATTGAATCTCTAACTTCTGAAACTTCTTCATATCGACCAGCCACTCCGTAAATATTGGACATAAGAACATAACCACCACAAGCCCCTGGTTCAAGTTCAAACACCTGCTGTGCAGCAATCTCAGCAAGATCTGCATCACCATGGAGTCGACATGCTGCTAATAAAGCTCTCCACACAATAGGGTTGGCCTCAATAGGCATTGTTCTTACCAGTTCATAAGCCTCCTTGAGCTTGCCAGCTCGACCAAGCATGTCAATTACGCAAGTATAGTGCTCAATGGTTGGGGTTATGCCATAATTCGTCTTCATTTGGGTGAAAAAATCACGCCCTTGTCTTAGTAAACCTGCATGGTTGCATGCCGATAAAACCCCGACAAAAGTGACCTCATCAGGCTTAAGTTGTGTCTCACACATACGAGCAAACATATCCAATGCCTCTTTACCGTAGCCATGTATGCCATAACCCATGATCATGATGTTCCAAGATGCCACATCCTTATTTCTCATCTTATCAAAAATCATACAAGCATTTCTCATGCTCCCACACTTTGCATACATGTCCATTAGAGCATTGTTGACCAACACATATTCGCAATGACCATCCTTTCCCAAGAAGCTACGAATCATGAACCCATGAATCTCTTTACCATGCATCATTGCAACCAGATTAGAACAAGCCGGTAGAGCTGCAGTGATTGTGATCAAATCAGGCATAACTCCCGCACCTAACATCTTATCAAAAAGCCTCAAGGTTTCTTCATGATCGCCACATTGTTCGTGAACAGAAATAATTGAGTTCCATGAGAATATATCCTTATCATCCATCATCTCAAAAATTTTCAACGCGTATCCAGGGCACTTGCATTTTCCGTAGACGTCAATCAATGCATTCAAAACTGCAGTACCGGAATCATACCCCGTTTTAATGACAAACCCATGCACAACTCTCCCATTGTTGAAATCTTCCATCACCGCAAAAATAGACAAGACCCCGGTAACCGTAAAATTATTTGGTATAACCCCTTCTTCACTCATACTCCTGAAAACCTCCAAAGCCTTATCGAAGCTCCCAATCTGCGCATACCCATTAACCATCGCGTTCCACAACACAACATCTCTCTCGGGCAATTCCTCAAACATCTCTTGTGCGTCCTCAATCAAACTAAACTTCAGATAAGTATTAACCAAAGCACTACCAGCGAACACATCCAACTCCAGCCCAAGTTTAAACAGCACACCATGAATCTTCCTAACCTCCAAAACCTCCGTCAAATCACTACATGCTCTAATAACACAAGGGAAAGTAAATTTATCTGCCACAACACCCATCTCTCGCATTCGGTTGTAGAAGACCAACCCCTCTGCTGCTCGCCCATTTACAATGAACCCGGCAATCATCGCGTTGTAGGCAAACACATTGCGATCGTCGTCACAGGGGCAGTTGAAGACCCAAATGGCGTCGTCCATTTGGCCACACTTGGAGTACATGTTGATAAGGCTGGTGATCAAAGGAGGTGAGTTGAGGAGGAAACCACAAGTGATAACGAATGAGTGGATTTGTCGGCCTTTGATGAGGTCCTTGTTGTTGGCACATGCTTGTAGCAAACCGATGCATGTACCGAGGTTCTTCGCGGGCGGTGGATATCGGCGTTTAGATCGTGAAGAAGAAGAAAAGCTGGTCGATAGAGAAAGTTTTCCCTTAAGGACTTTGGAGAAGATTGTTCTATTCATTTAACTCGGGTAATCCGACACGGATCCGTTTTGTATGAAATATAATGTGAGAACCTATAATGGACTTGTAGGTTCGTTTCAGTTTTGAGAGTTCAAGAATTGGCGGGCATGTTTTGCGTCTGTCTATATAAGAAGCTCAAGCCTTGTTTAATTGACTCTCTGATTCTTAAGGAAAAACATTTAAAATAATTGAGATTAAAGTTAATTACCTGCTCCTCAAAAGGTTTTCCAAACATGTATATGTATCGACAGTCGAGCCAAATGTGAGTGACTCTAGCCTGCAACACATGACATTGTGGTTTTGGTTAGTTATTATGAATGGAATACAGAAAAAACATCCAACTGTTGAAATAATAATAATAATAATAATAATAATAATAATAATAAATATGCTTTTATAATAAACATCATATTATGTAGATCTTACAATATAAGATCAGTTATGATCATCTTAAAAATAGACTAGGAAGCAGAATCATAACATCTTATAATGCATCATGCAGGTGCGTAGACTATCTAATCTGTGTAAATTGTACTAAAATTTCATTTTAGTACCTGTGTTATATGGAAATATGAATTTAGTACTGGTGTTTTTGATAATTTTATTGGGACACTCAACGTTTTAGAAAAACTCTCTTTGGTACCTAAGGCCTTTTTCGTATTTGAAATGTCATTTATACCATTCTATTTAATTAATTAAAATTTTAAATTTTAAAAATAATAAAAATGTTTAAAACTTTTAAAAGTTGAAAAAAAAACGTAAAATGAAAAAATAATATAAAATAAAGCCAATAATCAAACAAATCAAATCTATCACAATAATCAAACAGCTTCTTTCCCTTCATCAAAACCCCAGAATCCCATATTATTAACCATTTTTTATTTAATGTTTCCCTCTGCAATTCAAAACCAACAGAACAATATCTCAAAACCAAAATCTTTTCTAATTCTCCTTAAAAATAACACCAAACGATTCCCAGCTTTTTTCAGTCTCCGCAAGAAACCAACAACAACCAAGAACAAGCAAAGTTCAAACAAAAAAATAAAACCAACAGAAAAGCACACACAAATCCAGCCGAACACAAGAAAGTTCGGACAGCAAACACTCACGCGACCAGGTTCCGGTGGACGGCATTCTGAGATTCCTGACGCCAACCAGATATTTCACCGGGGAGGAACTGAGTTTCGAGAGGAATCAGCGCCTATCTGGAGCCAAATCACGGATCGAAGATTGTTAGCTCGAAATCCGGCAAGATTGGGGCTGAGTTCCGGAGGCGGGTCGCGCGGGTGGGGTCGGTGGCCCCAAATCTGGGCTCGCTGGAGGTAGGTCGCGCAGGGTAGGGCTCGCCGGGGCTAAGGTCGCGCGAGGGGGGCTCGCCGTAGGCAGGCGCCTGGATAGATTGTCAAGGAATCACAAGAGAGAAATTGACGAGGACTGTAGAGAGAGACGGGGAGAGTTTTTTATTTTTTAAGGTACGTTCATGAAGACTCCGGCAATATTGCTCCAGCGTTTTTTTTATTGAAGTTCAAATTTTATTTTTTTATTATAGTATTTTTTTTCACATACACAATTTTAAATCATAATGTTTTAGCCATTTTAAAAAGTGTCATTCTTAATTTTGATATTTAAAATTTAAATTTTTTATAAGTAATTTTACATGAGCACCCCCATCAATTTTGCGAATTTGACAATTTAATCTCTTAATTTTTTTCTTTAATTCACTTTTTAAATTTTAAAATTTATTATAACGTTAATTAAATTAAAAATAAATTTAAAAATTTAGAATATATTTTCTACGTGAGTGTTTAATAAAAAAAATTAATATTTTTTATACTGAATTAATTCTCATATACACAAAACAAGAGAAAATTTTTTGAAATTAGAAGTTAACTGTTTTGAGAGAAAAATTAGGAGTCCCTAAATTTAAAAAAAAAAAATTCATTCATGACGTGTATAAAGAGTTCAATTCAATGCAAAAAAGAGTAAAATTATCCTTATTAAATACTAACGTGGAAGATACCATATAAAATTTTTAATTTCGTTTTCAATTTAACCAATAATACAACAAATTTTAAAGTTTAAAAGTTGAATTGTCAAGAAAATAAATAAATAAACTAATTTGCCAAACTCATGAAGTTAAAGAGATATCTATGCAAAAAAAAAAATCTTTTTATGAGAGAAAAATATTATAACGAAACTAAAATCATTTGAGTTTAAGTATATAAAACAAACATATTCTAAATTATTTTTTAATTTTTAAGTACTTAAAAATATTTTTAAATTTAAAAAAAAATTTTAATTTTTATTTAATTAAATAAAATAATATAAATGACATTTCACAACCTAAAAAAAATAAGAGTTTTTTTCAAAACGTGGATGTACCTACCTGAAATTATCAAAAACACATATACTAAACTAATATTTAAATGTAAAAGAGGGAGAAATCTATGGCAGGGGTGTACTTTCCCCTATCGAAAAACTCCTTCTTTCTTCCCAACAGCCCATTGCCAGAACACGCGCCACCATATCCGCCACGCTCCGACGTCCTCTGTCGACACCGCCACTACCGTCGTACTCTCCGGCCGCCAATCTCCAAAATCCCTGCAACTCTCTTGGCGCATCTCAACCGGAAACATAGTCGTTATCCCCCACAAAAAAGTTGACAAGAGCCGAGGCAGCTTTGCGTGGAGAGCTTAGTAATCGACCCGACTCGAAGTTTCCTTCAAAAGCTTACTCTGGAAGACAAGGATTCTTTGGGCAATTCCCTGGAAGGAGAGAACGGGGACAAACCTGTTGCAGAAGATCAAGGGTTTTCTCATAACGCCAGTGAAGTCTCAAAGGAGCTTATAGTGAAGGAGATACAATGTGGGACTGGTGGAAATGGGCCTGAAAGCAAATGGAAGAATGCCACTTCTACTAGGGAGCGGAATAATGGCATGTTTACTTATCATGATTGAAGAATGGGAGTAAGAAAATAGAGTCAATCACATATTTATTCATTTTTTTTTATTTTGAAATAAGAGTGAGATTGGTGGGCCTCACTCAAATTTGGGATTGAAGAATGGGATTGGCACTCTCACACCTCTATTGGGATTGAGACTCTCATTCCTAATATTAATATATATTTATTATTATACCTTTATTTTACTTATAAATACACAATTAAAAAAATTTAAAAAAATAATAAATGCAACGTATATTTATTATTTTAGTACCCAATTATTACACTAAATATTTTAATTATGATTAATTTTAATATAATAAGTACACAATATATTTTTTAAATTGAAAATATCAAATTGATTTAAAGGGTATATTAGTACTTTTACACGTTTTCATTTCGATTCTGGGTGTAAGTAAACGTATGAATGAGATTTGGAATGACTCTGATTTCGAATCCTATCACTAAGTAAACAGCTTATTCTGACTCCGACTCATCACTCCGAATACTACCTACTCCGAATCATGCCCACTCCGATTCATGCTCATTCCGATTACGTGTAGGTAAACATACCATAAAGGGAATGAAGCGGTTGGGACTAGCGACAAGGGTTTACCTGAGGAGGGACGAGAGACAAAGAGTGGTGTTCGAAAAATAAACTCAGAAGAAGCGAAATGGTTGAGGTAAAAAAACAAAACAAAAACTTATTTAGCTGTTAGTACCTAAATTTTGAGCATTGTGATAATTAATAATTTGATCTAAAATTTTTAATTTGGTCAGATTACTCTTAAAACTTTTAATTATTAAGAGTTTTGGTACCTAAGACTTACATTGATTATTGCCAAAAAAAAAAAAAACACTTAAATTGACAGAGGAACTTTGAAATTTAACACCAATAATTTACTAATGATGTCAAAGGGGCCGTGTCAGTGTGGCGGGCCTGGGCCGTGCCGGCATGGCATGCCTAGGTCGTATCAGGGTCAGGCCTGAGGAGAAACTCCCAGGCCCAGTATTGGTCCTCAGCCCTAGTCTATAAGGGTCAAGGCCGGGCTTAAAGATGTGATTTTATTTAATTGAGATAATACAAATAAGTACACATAAATGACTGTCTCGTTAAAAACCTTACCAAGTAAAACCCGTGAGGAGATCGGGACAAAACCATAGCGTAGGAAAAAATAGTGCATTATTCTAAAATGGTAAATTACAATGTTGAATAATTGCTTCCAGAAGATTATGTTATGTTTAAGTTCGAAAAATATTCTTGAATTGAACATTTGTATAGTGTTGTTTTCATCTTCTAACATCTTGTCAGTCTTTAACGTACATTAGCCCCTCCAAGATATCCAGATACATTCTGCTCTTCTTCTCGTCAAGAATTCGGTTGCTTGCACTAAATGCTTGATCTGATGCTACCGTTGACACTGGGGCTATCAGAATATCACGTGCTATTATGGACAGTGTTGAAAAACGATCGATCTTGCTCCTCTACCACTGTAAGATGTCCAGCTTCTCGTCATTGATTACAAAATTTAATTCAAAATATTTAACTAGTTCGGTAGACGCTTGTGTTGATGACGATCCTGACGCTTTCTCCTTCTTCTTCTTCAAGAAGCTCCACGATGAACCTTTGGGCCCCAAACTGCTTCTTAACGTCGAAATTCCATGTTCTTTTGTACCTAATCCGTATTTTGCTTCATACAAACCAAATAATTTTTCTAACATTTTCCTAGCTTTGGCAATAGTTAGTTGCATATCAATACATAAATTTTCTGCCGTAGCAGACATCAAAGATTCGGTCTCATCTAATCCGCATCTAGGATTTAAAATGGTTACTAATACATTTAACATAGGACAACTGGCCCAATAACTTTTAAATTTAACTTCCATTAGCTTAACTCTAGTTCTAAAAGGTTTAGTATCCCTATAATAAGATGTTTCTGAAATATTAAATAGTTTATGCAAAGCTCAATGTGCAGTAGGATAATAAATTTCAGAAAGTAATTCAGTTGCATTGTAGAAAACTTTTAAAAATTTAAAAAAGTACTCACCAAAATTCCAATATGTATCGAAAATTAAATGCTCACTGTGCTTACTGTTCACGTACATTGTGATGATCTGTTGATACGGAAGTGCAGTCTTCAATATTAAGTAGGTTGAGTTCTACCTATGTCTCACGGCAGTTAAAAACTTTCTTGGGGGCATCTGATTATTCCTGCAATATTGCCGAAATTCTTAGAACCAAGCTCCA